GCAAATCTGATATGTCGATGGTAACATTATTTTTGTAATTTTTGTAATAAATTAATTGATATGTGTATTGAGTTTGATTGGAAAAATTTGTGGACTCTTTATTCAATTTTAATGAAAGGAATAAATGCACATATGCGGCTACAAAAGTGTAAATAAATGCACTATTGGCTGAAAAGTTTTTTTTCTTAAAAAAATATTTATTTCTTAAGTGTTTAATCAAGTTTCTGATTATAAACTATTGTTTGAAATGGTTGTTTATAATATTTGATTTTTCAGTTGCTATAATCTATTGTTTATAGTAGCATGCAGTGTTTACAATATTTGATCACAACATGTGCTGTAACCGTAGTTATTTAATGGTTGTTTACAATATTTGATCACAATATGTGCTGTCACTGTAATTATTTGATGGTTGTTTATAATATATGATCATAACATGTGTTGTACTCTATTGTTGGGGTTTATATAGTGTTTCTTTGCCTTGTAAAGAATCAATATTGAGATAAGTTTATTCAGACTCATATTGAGATAGGAACAATTTATAACTGAAATATGAATTATTGGTTTAGGAGGTTTATCAGTAATGTAATCAGTAATCATAGTAATGTAGTCAGTACATCAGTAATGTAGTCTCTCTCTCTCTCTCTCTCTCTCTCTCTCTCTCTATATATATATATATATATATATATAACTGAGATAGGCAGATTATTTAATAACCATAGTAATCAGTAATGTTATATATAACTGATATAGGTGGATTATTTAATAACCATAGTAATCAGTAATCAGTAATTTTTTATTCTGTTTTATTGATTTATGCATTTACTTAATATTTTAATTTTATCCCTTTTCTGAAGTTTTATGTTCTGTTATATTTTGAGTGTATGTTTTTCTGTTAAAGTGTAAAAGTTTGAAGTAGTTTATCAATATTGAGGAAAAAAATATATACATTCATTACATGTAAGAAACTTTATTCTTTCATATAATAAAGAGAGATTGCATTCAGATTCAAACAATTGTTATTGGGAACATTTCAATCTTAAAACAAACTCGAAAAATAAGCATTCTACTAATTTATTTCTAAAAAACATCAATCCTTCACGTGCTGCAGTCAGAGTTGTTCAATCTTTATTTTCTTCTCCCCCATCATCACTTCATTACAGCCTGACCCAGGCTGCTCTCTCTTCTTTACTTCCTCTTTGCAGCCCTTCACAGCCTCGATTGGGCTGTTAACTTCATTCTTTACAGCCCTGATTGGGCTGTTCACTTCATCCTTCACAGCCCTTATTGGGCTGTTCACTTCTACACAATTTACAGCCCTGATTGGGCTGTATACTTATTCAGCTTTTACAGCCCTGATTGGGCTGTACACGTCTTCAGCATTTGAGTCCTACATATTAAACAATATATTAATATTAATTATTATATAATAAAAAAGAATAATTCTATTATATATTGAAGAACTTTTTTTTGTTAATAAAATCAGGCCAACCTGGGACATGTTGGCCAAAGAACCAAATCTGTTGACCAAAATATGATCGGCTGTTAATCGAGAAACAGTATAAGGACCACTGTATTCTCCAAATGATTCTTCTTCTTTGAAACCTTGAACAATACCAATTTGTGTGTTAAAAGTTCAAGGTCAAGTGGTAGATGTGAGCCATCATTGTCCTGCACAATAAATTTTGAGTTAAATTATAATTTTTCAAATACTTCAAATAAAACATTTGAGAAAAATTCAATAAAACTAAACATGCCTCCATCATTTCACTACGAACAGCATCACATGGTTTTCCAACCAACTCTCGAGCAACTTTGTCCCAGCACAAAAGTCGAACCATTCCGGTGTTGTCCCCAACCGAAATATGCAACTTGTACCTAAGAATTGCAAAGGGAATAGTGTATTTGCAATTGTTGCACCAGAATTTCTCATCTTTGGGCTCGACCTTTCCAACGCAATTGGGGCAAGAATTGAAAAACCAATCTCCCCAAATATCAATAATGTGTCCAAAAACTGTTTTCCTGAACAGAGAAATTATAAATAAATCAATATGTGACAACACTTAAAAGATTATTACAAAACGTTAATAAATTGCTGTTATTATTATGAGTGAAAAATAATTTAAAAAATTTAAAAAATGTAATATATACCTCTATAGACACACAAAACTCCGAAACACTTATTATAGGAGCATCTCCGGATTGCAAGTCGTCACTAATGTTAGACATGAACGACCTAACATAAGGGAATGAAGAGTCCCTTGGCCTTGTGTGGGAATTGTACCTAGTGAAAGAAAAATTTAATTTATCTAGTCTTTTATTTGATCAAATATAGTATCACATAATAACAATTAGGTACTTTTGGCTTTGGATATATACCTTTGCTTGAAATCAATAATCTCGGGAACATCATTCGAGATTATCAATTTTGTAGCATCGTAAATGTTGGAAACCAAAACAGATCCTACAAAAAATAAATGTTTTTAGGAAAATATTAAAAATTGTAAAATAAATGTAAACTAATAATAAGAGCAATTAGGCCAAATAATGTATACCATCATCAAATGACTTTGCATGGCAAAGTTGGATTATGAGTATTTTCAGTTCTGTTGGATCCGACTTTTTGTAGGAGACTATCAGTTTTTCCGCATATGATTCCCATAGGGTGCAAGTTTGGTGGCAGCCCCTACATTGTACAAAAAAATAAACAATTAATTTAAGAAATGAAACAATGCTCAAATTAAAATAAAACAAAAGTTGTATGTGTACAAAACTTACTCAACATCTTGAAGAACAATGTCAACATATCACTTTTGATTTCTTGTTTGTATGTTTTGAAACAAAACAATGCGGCCAATTATGTCTACAAAAAAAAATAAAAATTAGTAATTGAAATAAGATTACGAAAACTTGCATTATGTTAAAAATAAAGGATACCAAAAGGTGCGCAAGGGTCAATTGTTTCTGGGTCGGTTAGCTCGCTGAATTGCTTGAATTCGAACATCAAACTCGGATACTCGTTATCAACAATCTCATGCATGTTAGTTTGTTTGTAGAAAATCAGCTTGTGACTGGATTTGGTTATCTTGAATGCACTTTTGTCATCCACAAGTGCAAAATTTGTGATGTCATACACGTTCCCTTCAATAAGATTGAATCCTGTAAACTTTTCCGATAAGCAACCGGGTGCCCAGCCATGTATACGCTGGCCCTAAAAAAACCAAAATAATGAAGATTGTCAAACACATTGGCTGTGAAAATGCTGAGTGAAAAATAATTGAATATTAGAGGATGAAAATTGTATACCTTCACATCATGAAAAACATATTCATGTCCGCTTATTTTTGCTTTGTTCGACTGGTAAAAGCGCGGGTAGGTTCTGACCAAACGGAGCCTGGCTGTCTTATTCTTGTTTTTTGACAGGAAGGTCAAATTGTTAAAAATTGATGCCATTGATGATTTTTCTTAAACGTAGGAGCAAGAATGTTTTTTTTTTTGGATGGTTAAGTGGATTGTGACTGAATGGTGGACCTATATATATGGTTTTAGTATGGTCAAAATCATTTGGCACATTTAATATAAAATATTTATTAATTATAAATCTGGCAAAAATCACTCATATTGTATTTGTAATTTCTGGATCCCTCTCTTTTTCCTTTCTGAAATTTGGTTCTCAATAACTAATTATCCAACCACAAAGAATATTTCATCCGCTCATTTTGTTGTTTTAAATTTTCAATTGAATTTTATCTAGAATTAGATTACCCACCCAATTTTAAATTCTTTTGAATTTCATTTCATTCAGTTTGAAATTCAGTTTGCCGCAACTTATTTTTCCAAGCTCCATATTTTGTAACAGACATTAATAGTAAATTATGAATAAATCAAATGCTAATTTTTATTTTTTTATTATTTTTTTGCAGGTCTAATCGAAGATTAAGTGTGTTCAATTAAGAATGTATTTGTAATTTTTTTAATTAATTTTTTGTGTTGGTCAATTAATTTATTGTTAAATTAAATTATAATTATTATTACGTGTTGTATTAATTATTTGTATGTGTTGTTTTCTTTCATGTAGCAAAATAAAAAATAATAAAAAATTACTAGTTATTATTTTACTTTGGAAATCGCGATTGTAACTGCTAATCATCATAAATCATATGCATGATAGAAGCAAATAATAAGGTTTGTGTTCATTAAAAACAGAAGGTTTATAAATACATCACCTGTAACGTCTTTTGGAGGGAATCTGAAATGTTTTTATTTAATGTTTTATTAAATAGGATTAGCCAGCAATTATATATATATAGATAAATGACATGTTGAAATTCTGGAAAATAATTATATATTTCAATTTTAAAAAATGATACATAGCCAACCTAGTATACAACTAGGTTGACAACACAAGTGAAAACATCCACTTGTGTATTTTTTTTATTTTTATTTTTTTTTAATGTTTTCACTTGCGTTGCCAACCTAGTTGTAAACTATGTTGTCAATGTAGCATTACTCTTCAATTTATTATTTGTCCATTAGTAAAACTTTTTAATATATTTCAATATGTTTTTATGTTTATCTTCGTCAAAATATTATCAACATGAATCACGGAAATCAAATTTGTAGTTTACAATAATGAATATCGATAAACTTATTGCAAAAGTTAATAAAATTATTCAATGAAAGAATTTTTTTACCATATCTGATTTGTTATAATTTGGAAACATGTATATACAAACCATTAATGCATATATTTAAAATGTTTCCAAAAAAAGCATGCATTAAATGTTCACAGTTTTTTTAGTTGCTATTTTTTAGTAAATGTTCATTATCTCTTTGTATAGATTAATAGATACATAGATTACTAATTAAAATAGTTTAAAAGATACTTGGCCTAACTATTAGTAACGGTCAAGAGAAGGAATGAACTATCTTGTCTGGTATGTAATATTATATTGAAATTTTACTTTCTATTTGACTCAACTAGCATAATTCTAAAGTCTAAACCAATCAAAAAATAATGAATGCGACGAAATGGAAAATATTATTGAAAATATGATTGCAGATGCTCTAAACAAGATGTTTGTTAATTGGCGCCATAATTGTGTAGTGCATTGCTGCAGATAATAAAAACACATCTGTTTTTGTCTAAAATAGAGTTCTTGAGAGAGATCTGATNCGCACCTCAAAATCTACACAAACCAGAAATTTCCAAATTTATTGATTTGTTTTCATATATCAATTTTTTATTATTATTCTGAATAATTTCATGGAGCTTAACACGAACCTGAATATCAGAAGCTGGAGCAGGACAGTAAGCCTGAATCATCTCTTTCGTGACAAAACCAATGCCACCGTTCCATGTTTCACTAGGAGGCTACACAAAATCCAAACGCCAACAAGAAGCAATTAGTTAGGTGACAAATAAACAAATAAATAAAACAACAGCCGTAAGTTCATAATTATTGACTTTCAAATAAATTCACTAGGAAAAAGGAAAAAAAAAAAAAATGAAGTAGGAATTGATTTCAAGTCTGTCAGTCCATCTCATATTGAGGTACTATGAAATTTCACAGTTGCATATAATAACTAACTCCAAGTGTTAAGAGGCTAAAGGGATGGAAGAAAATAAATAGGAAGCACATTTGTGTGGCAAGAAAAAAAATATATATAACAAAATAGTAAGTCGGCTAGTAGCACCGTGATAATGTCCAAGTGAAGCGAAAAAGGACCACTTAACGAATCTAAGCTGGAGATAATTCAAATTGCAGGATGAACTTACCTGGTTGAGAACATAGTATATTTTGAACCTGTCAGAGTAGTTCCTTGCAAGACTATCCAATTCATCCTGAAACCAAAATATAACATTATTCATCACCAAACACATTCTAACATCCTCAAGTAATCAGATACCATCCCTCATAAATCAATGTAGATTGGATAACATAATTCTGCCACATTCACATAGTGTTTTGTACGTTCAAAATGAAGATTTAGTTTAACTTTAAGTGCCATAACATATTACCTTTAACAAAATGTCGTCAAACGTAACATTAGCATATATCAGGTGAACTTTTGTTGGGTCATTGGGATTTTCAAGAATTGCTCTTGTAACCTATTACAGGAAGATGAAATCAGAACATTAGTCAAACTAGTTTTTGACCATGCACAACTCTGGAAATTCCAGAACATGAGGAAAAAACAAATGGTCATATAATTGTTGCATACAAACCTGAAACATTGGCGTAATTCCTGAACCTCCTGCAATCATTCCAAATGCTCTCACCTGTCCAGGCTGATATTTAAAGCGGCCCTAAAAATGGTGAAAGAAAAGAAAATCGTCAAATGTTATAGGTTTAAAATTTTAGTTATTAGAATCAAATTCCATCAAGACATTAACCACAAAGAATGAAAAACTGACAGAAAGTTTAATCTGGAAAACCAAAGCCATTGTCATTCCAAGAGAAGCCATTTTACACAGTAATTAAGCACTGAAAAGTGATAACTACTTAGGTAAATTATACTTAATGCAAGTGGTAACAAAAAAAAATGCCCTAAAATCAATGACTAGCATATGTGAAAACCGATAACTCATAAATGTTCACATTTCAAGGCCATTTCACATTCTAGAAATTCAACAATTATAAGAATACGGCAAAATTGGGTCAATGAACATTATTCGAACCCCAACCATTTTCCTATCTCACTATTCTACTGGACCAAGTCAAACTAAAGTACTAAGCCAAATATATACAGAATCATTAGAATATTGTTTTCTGGATCAAAAACTCATGGTTACAGATGAAACTTTCCTTTTACTGTGTCAACAGAGGCTTTCATGCAATACGAAACTCTTTTCCTTCATTTTTTCTTTCACCATATTATTACCTAACAGCATAAAAATAGTTCATTGGCTTATATGTTTGTAAGTGAAACCTTAATAGGATTGGCTTATATGTTTGTAAGTGAAACCTTAATAGGATTGAACCGGTACCTTCGGTCCTTTCACAGCCAGAAAATCACCTTCACGCATTTCTCTAAAATGATGGGACATTCTTCCTGTTGGATACATCTGGCAATAACGTATCATTCATTTACACCAAAAAAAAGAATAAGATAGAGAATTAAAAACTAACAACAGCATATAACATATACAATGAAACTAACAACAGCATATAACATATACAACGAAGTAAAAAGGTCACGGGAATATAAAAGAAAGGTACCTTTATAACTAACTCAAAATATCCAACATCAGAATCCAAAGTAGTTGGCGTGTAAGGTTTTACAACATCTTCACCTTGACTATCCTTACCCCTATCACAAACAAATAACTGAAAAGCATTAAACTCAAAACACGTGGATATATTTGTTGTTTTAACAATTGGAATAGGAATTAAAGGCCAAGTAATCCTACTCTTTCAGGGATACCACTACAATAAAAAATACCAATAAAACAAACAGTGTAGATATCATGAGAACAAAACAAAGGTCAAAGAAATTAACCTGCAGCTCATATGTTGTCCTATAGGAAGGCCCAATACAGAAATGGGTGTAGGAAGAGCAAATTTGAACTTAGCAACATTGTGACTCAGTTGTGTTTTCTTGACAAGCTTGAACTCCTTGAAGTTATCAGGGTCCAAGCACACTGTTCACCAAACAAGAAAGTCAAAAATAAAAAACCAACTAGATTTTATCTTAGCCAAGTATGTCGTAGTATCTTCTAATTCGCAACCAAATGAAAGTCTCTACCCAATTTAGACTTTAGAGTTTCATTTTCGATTTCAAATATATCATCAATACATGTNAACAGTGAATGGAATTGAGAATCTTGACAGCTTCATAACTCAGCAAAAAAGAAACAGAATCAAATACGAATTATAATTCACAAATAGGAGAGAACCAAAAAATTATAACAAATTAATTAATTTACAAACACAGACATGTAATTGAATAGATAAAAGGTCCAATCATTAAGCAAAAAGCGCCCAGTAAAAAGAAAGGGAAATGAACAATCAATTACGTGCAACTAATAAGGTACAAAAGGGGCAGGAATATGCTTCAATGCAACAGATCACCACATAACTAATCAGACCTTTAGATTTCTTGGAGGAAAACAAGTAATACGAAGCACCCACAACAATAATACCGACAGCGGCGGCAATAACAAATTGTCCTTCGGAAGTTGCCCAGAAATCCATTGTCTCAGAGACCTATAACACCTGAGCTGCCACCAGAAAATGAAATTGACAGGACTAACAAAAGAACAAACGACCTGGTGCTTACTAAATTTAAGATCCCAATATTTGCCTCGTATCTTTTTCACTATTATTTTTTATTTTTTATTTTTTTTATTATTATTTTTTTTTTTAATAGAAAGGGCGTAGACTAATTACTGTACGATACCTGAGGATCAGATTAAATACGAAATCTTCACGGCATTAACATATAATCTCCCATAGGAAAAGGAGTGAATCGAAAAACAATGGGGTGCTTCTATTCTTAGTATGGTTTGCTTGTTCTTGGTGAAGAAGTACGTAAGGAAGAAGAATGGTGGTAGCTATGCCTATAACCAGTAGTTTCAGTCAATGATGCCACCAACCCTTCTCTTTTATTTTTAATTTTTCTTTTTATTTTCCCTCTTTTTAATTAGTATGTACACAAAAAAAAATGATAATACGATTGTGTTTATAAATTAAATTATATAAATCATATGAATCACCATTTATAATACGTTATTGAAAGTTATATTATAATATTATTTTATTTATGTAAATATTAAAAATTTGATATATAAATACTCATAAATTATGGAACATTATCTTATAAAAACATTCTTATAATCTAAGAAACTGCATTATATTTATCGGAAAAAAATATACTTAACATTGAAATTCTTATTTACTTGCAATAATCGATTTGGTCCGGTCAAATTGACTCATAACTTAACTACTCATAATGCAACAGAAATTCATATTTTTGGACTATTTTACAAAGGATCTAGAATTGGTCCAGTAAACATGTGTAATAACCTAATTGCCCGATTGATCCAAAAAAAAAAAAAAATTATTTTTCCTTAAATACAGTTAATTTTATGAAATAAAAATAATTTTTGATTCATATAGTACACTTTTATAACAACGACAATATATTATGATTCCAAATTATAGTATTAAAGACAGATTAATTGTTACTTACTCTATACATATTTATAAACATAATAAATGTAATAATTTTAGAAAAATCAAAATTTATTAATTGATTATGTAACTTGACACGATGATTGGATACCAACATGAGTCAGAATCGAGCATAAATATTTTGTATTTCTAATATTTTGGTAGTATGTTATTTATAAGTGATTAAATATTATAAACAGATGGTGTTGCAACGAAGAAAGTGCATTAAAGATAAATTATAAACTCATATTATATATTCAAGAAGAATTTAATAAAACCATATATATAATAATTGGTTTTAATTGTTATTTTATTGTTATTATATATTATTAAACAATCTTTTGTAATTCAATTTGAGTCTTGCAATATCATTGTAGTTAATAAAACAAAATTATTTTTCAAATTATTGATTCCACATCACTAAAATGAAAATAGATTGGGAAAAAATAAAAAAATTGATTGAAATTTTTGGAAAGTTTAATCAATATATTTAGATCGATTCATAAAATAAAAGTCTCACCATGATGGTAAAGGAAAATAAATCAAAATGAAATAAAAAAAAAAGATTAAAAAAGAATATTTAAGAATTTTACTTATTTAGTAGCAAAATAATTTTTGGCGGGAAAACAATATTATTATAAGTATATATATATATATGTATGGTGTAACAAAGACCTCCGACAGCCTAAAAACGGTGGGAAATTACTGGATCCAAAGCTCGATCGCCGGTTGAACGTCCTTGAACCCGCAGAACTCTCACACCATAGGGGGTTTCCGACGAAGAGCCTCCGACCCTTAAGCTAGCATTTGTAGAAGATGAAGTGCAGTATACGAATGTATGATAGTGAATGTAACCCACATCCTACTCCTATTTATAAGAGTGAGTTACTTGCTTCTAGAAGGTTGTCCGGATATGATGAGTTGGCTGCCCCAGCATCCTGTACTATCCCAGAAGGTTATGACGGTAGACCAATCAAATGATGTCGTGTGTCCTAAGCCATGTGCAGCGGCGGACGCAAAATTTTTAATCAGCCTAGGCAATACGAAATGAAAAAATACTAACAACAAAGGTAACATGTTCCGGTTTAAAGAGACAACAACAAAGGCAAAATAGAGCATCTTTCTCTATGTTGTACTCTAACCATTCAACATGATCATCGAACCAAGAAGAATTAAAACTGCTCTTAGTCCCGTAGATGTCTCGTTGAGGAAACTTATGACTTCAAGGTTGATAGGGGCCCTTGAGTAGATACTGTCGTCTAACTTGATCGCGAATATTTGGGTCGTAACCTAAAATACGCTTTCGGAGGGCCGGATCTGAAGGGAGATTTTCCAAAAGTTCGCTAAGTTCAGTGCTCTTGAATTTTGATTATCGAGCTTACTTTTCTTTGTAAATGACAAAAGAGTTGAAGAATCATCTAAATTTGACACCTTTGGAAAGTACTTCTCCATTAATGTAATTCTGCAATCAACAATTGATTTCAATTAACATAAGAAATTACCAATTCAAACTTCAACATCCAACAAACTCATTTATAAACAAAAATCAATTCAAGACCGAGAACAACAAATCTCAATGTTGTTGTCTAGAATTAACAACTTGAAATTAAATACAGCTGATGTGAAATGATAAAAGATAAACGTAAAATTTGATTTTATTTAATATCGTCACAAGAGTACAAGAGTCGGTTTTCTATTGTTAACCGAGATCATCTCAAGCCCTGTACAATGTGTTCGAAAAAAGATCCTCGTACTATCATAAATTCTGCTATTTATAGTACGGTAATTTTTGTCTTTTTGCTCGAAACGGATAAAGACGCATTTAATATTGAGCTGCTTTACTTTAAGCGGCGGGAAACATCAATGATTGCTTCTTCGTTTTGTTGGTCCAATCAGATGCCTCCAGCTTTGTTTTCTGTTTGGATATTTGGACTTTGTGGTAGTCGGTTTGAATAGAAGAAACTTGATTTATCTCGTCCTAATATTTGTTGAACCGAGGTCAGATTAAACTGAATTCGGTTTTCTCACATCCGTTTCAATAGTCGGTTCCTTTGATAGTCTTCGGAAGTTGGTAATTAATTCTAATAAATGCCGACTTGTCTTAAGTTTGTCTTCTTCTGAAAGATTATCTCTTCAATGAAGCAATTAATCTCCGTCTTCAATTTTGTAATCAAGTCGGATATCAACAGTGAGGCCCCCGACATTAGTAGGTATTTGGAGCTTTTTCGAATAGCTGCTGATGTCGTTTGTTGTTCTACTTTATTCCGACTTGTTTTGCTTCGTTTACCGACATGAGAACACTTTGTTGTATTTGCTATTTCGTGTATGGCACTTGGTCTGACATGGCGGCTCTCAAAAGATGTGTCTGCATTTAATGGGTCCAACGGATATAAATTCGTAACGACATGGCGTTTCTGGACGTGTCCACGTGTATTGATAATTACTGTAACGTTACACCGTTTTAAGACACGTCCGTTACACGCGCCGTTTCCAGATATCTCCAACGGTTATAAATCAAAACTTATAAATTATAATCGGTTTCGATGTATGAAAAGTTTCTGTACCTTAAATCTTCTCCGCTTCTTCTTGCGCTCTATCTTTTGCGACTTTTTCTTTTAATTTCTCTCTCGTGCACTTTGTCGGTATTTTCTTCAATTCAGGGCTTTCGGAAATTTCGGTAAGAATTTGCCCTAATCTTTTCAATTTCTTTATCTATTTCGAGTTTTCTTTCGCTTTTGTCGATTTCGAAAAAGATGTCTGCTCAAGCTGAGGATAGTAGTAGCCGTACAATTTCTGATATTCCGATTTTCACCGATGAGGATTTGGAATTGCCTCTCGAATATTATCGATGGGATCCCCTGCTGGTAAAACGATTAAATCTCAATAGAGATATTATTGAGGAGGATAAACGAGTCGAAGAGGATGCCATGTCGCTTCCCGATTACTGGAGACGTCCAGCTCGGCGGTGGCCCGAACCAATCGATGAATACAGAGGAGAACCAAGCATTTTAACCGACGCTGACATTGTCATCCTCCGAGAAGAGGTTTATATTCCCTCCTCGGTAAAGTTATTTGCTCCTTATCCAGGGGAAAGGATCACTTGTCCGCCACCGGGTTGTGTAGGCGTATTTGCTGATTCGTTAAGATCGGGACTTCGGTTTCCTCTCCCTGCTTTAATCACAGACTATCTGAGAAATTGGGGAATTGGCTTGTGTCAGATAGCGCCGAATTCGTGGAAAAGAATTATTGGCCTTATGGTATTGTTAAAGGAAAAGGGTTGGGACATGCCAACCGATGAAGAACTAAGAAGTCTCTATTCATTTAGACGATGCGCTGACAGACAAGTATCCGATCCTTTGATATGTTATGCTTGCGCGGGAAGACCTCAAGAAGGATTAAAGATTGGTGACTTGATTACTGATATTCCCGAATCACTCCATGGATTTCAAGAAGAATGGTTATGGGTTGGAGGAGACTGGCAGGCTCCGAATTTTTCGAAACCTTTAATCGATGGGATGTCAATTCCCATCAATATTAATTCTGCAATTTGTAAGTTTTTTGTTTTACTTCTTCTTACCAAGTTATTCTGACTTTGCTCATTTTTGTACTAACAGGTCAACGCTTTGTTATTTGCAGCCAAAAGCAAGGGAACAAAACTCGGTACGACTCTGAAAGAGAGGATTACCGAGTTGTTCAAGTTGAAAAAAGCACAACGCAACTTCAAACTGATTTTGAAGAACACAAGACTGAAGGCTGTTGGTCTCTGTCCCGAAATTTCTGACGGTTCTTTCCAACCAGGTGAACTTAAATAAACTTTCAGTCTTGTTTGAAGTCGGTTGCTCTTAAATACTGTTGTAACTTTGTTCTGTATCTGCAGTTTATTATCCGCTTCTCGGTGTTCTTGGTTTTAAGACTATTCGTGACGCTAAAGCTTTTCGTCAAAAGAGTCCGAACTTGGAACATCGAACGAAAGTCGAAAGGAGCAAGGAGTTGCGTTTATCTGGAATGGGTCGTAAGAAGTTGGTGAAGGCATATTTGGAAAATCCAATCATGAACCCTCCGAAAACTGATGTCGGTGATGGTGCGATGTCGGCAGCTGCTATTGAAATATCGCAACCAGATCCATTAGCAATTGCAGTTGCGGGTCCTATGGCTGCTGTTGCCGCTGCTACTACTGATTTATCTGAGATTGAGCCGGTTGTTGAGGCTACTCCAACAGAAATTCCACCTGTTATTGACATTGTTTCTGACGAGCCTGATGGTGACCGAAGAATTATTGCAGAATGTGAAGTTCCGGCTACTCGGTCAAGAAAAAGACGTACAGAAAGCGTTCCAGTCGCCGAGGAACGAATGAAGAAGAAACATGACGTTGGCGATCGAGGAAAGAAAAAGAA